GTAATCCCAGCACTGAGGAGGCTGAAATAGGAGGATCACTAGAAATCTAAGCTGCATAGTGAGACCCTGTATCAAATAAATAATCTTGATAAAGAATACCTAAGACTGTCCTTCTCTCTGTCTCGATTTCACTGACATGCACAGTTCTAATTGTCTCCCTACCACTGCATGATAATTTATTTTAAATTAATATTCAACATTTACAATGCTGTGAATTTGTAAAATTTGCTGTTAAATAACACACTGTTACATTATTACAGATGATATTGTATTATATATTCTTGACCACAGTTTGCTTTCCATGTAGTTAATATTGGCATTATTTTTTATATTTATCTAGTTTTTATCCAGGACAGAGTTGATGCTCCAAGTCTTCAGGTTTGTACAACACCTATCAATATGTTCTGTCAGTCCCATAGTTTCATGGTGAAAGGTCCCTCTTGGAACACTCTTTCTTTCTTGAATACGATTGCTCTGTGATTTGTTCCAGAATTATTTAGGCTACATTTATTGTATCATTTAATGGAAATATTTTATAACTTTTAAGATGATCTTAAATTATGATAATAAAATGAAGCAACAAATGTTGCTTATAGAGAATACCATATAAAACTATTTCCAAACTATTGTTATATTTTTAAAAAGATGTTAAGAGTACCTAGACATTTGTATTACCGTCTTTCTTATTACACTGAATACAGGTAGAACTATTCATACTATACATAATACACTTTGTAAGTAATTGACACAGCTACATGTAGCATATATAAACATACATGGAAGTATGGAAGTCTATAAAATCTGATAATCATAGTCACTCTGAAGAGGTATTAGGGGGGTGGAGTTCAGGATACATCAGAGATTTGCTTCATACAGTTACCAATAGATTTATTTTTTTAATTGAATATTTTTATTTTATAATTTTTTCCAAGCTAATTAATAGAACATTTTCAAGAATTAATACATTGCACAGTTATCTTCTCACTGGTCATCCACAGCATGAGAAGCAGCCAGGACATCCCATCCAAACACTACTACTACAAATCCTTCCTCTCATTGAACCAAGCGAAAGCAGCCATATATCTACCCTGACTATTCTGTATATACAAATACAAAATGGTCCTTTCTCTGTATCCCCCTTCTCCAGTTCAGTCCTGTCAGAGATGGGTATTCTATTGGCATCTAAATATTACGGGTGCCTGAATTCAGCAAATCAATTCAACATGGTCCAGTAGTCCACAGTAGTAGTGGGTTATCTGCAGAAGTTGTTGAATAGAGCCTTTTACAGCTCAGTGTTACAGGATAAATCCTGAGGGGACTTGATTGACCTTATCAGATACAAAAGTTATATTTCTTGTTATATAGGTCTTGCTTTGTTTTGGTCTTAATGACCCAGCAGAAAAGTATAAAAATGACGTATATAAAGTAAAGCCATGTTGTTTGTTTTTAAATTTTTTTTTACATTTTATTTAGTGTGTGTGTGTGTGTGTGTGTGTGTGTGTGTGTGTGTGTGTGTGTTAAGCTCAGCCCACCAGGGGGCGGGGCTGGCTGGCATGTGGTGCTGGGGGATTGAACCGTGGTCCCTGTGGTTTTCTAAGCTTGTTCCAAGTAGGTGCTTTAGACCACTGAGCCATCCCTCCAGCCCCATGTTGCTTGTTTTTAAAACACATATACACTTTACTTTTTCAAAAAAAATAAATATACCATCTAAAATTCTTTAACTGTTAAGCTTTAGGGCAGGTATAATCTGTTAAAATAACTAGAACCCATTTTCATTATGTTGTTGTCAGCCTTCTTAAAGAAATCATGCAAGGCTGGGGAGATAACTCAACAGTCTAGGCACATGCCTGGCAAGAGCAAGGACTCAGGTTTGATCCCTGATACCACATGCCATGCTAGCATGGGTACCGAGCCTGCCACTGAAGTGAGGCATGATAAGTTTTGCCTGTAATCCCAGCACTGGGGACCCTGAGACAGGAGGATCACTGAGTCGAGCTGTGTAGAGACCCTGTACAAATAAATAAAAGATTAAAAGAAAAAGACATCATGAAGAATAAGAAATGACAGCTGAAAAGAGATGTAAAGAGACTTAAGGTGAAGACAGACCAATGAAAAAGCCAGCTCATTACCCCAGGAGACAGAAATAGTGGCTTGAGGCATGGTCATGGCATTGGAGGTGATGAAAGATGGTGATTGGAGGTGATGAAAGATGGCCGATATTGGGGACAACAAACTGTGGCTATGAATATGAACAGATGAAGTCTAATAGAGGTCATGTTTTGTGGACAATGGAATCTCTGTCTATATACAGATTTACATGAATTAAAAATGAGTATTAACTACACAAACCTCAGTTGAACATATACAAAGAGACTTCAACCAGTTTTGTGTTTTGTACTTTAGTGAATATGGAAAATTGAGCTACTTAACAACATTTCAAAGTATCTGCTCTAAGTGGAGACTTCAAGCGTATGCATATAGTCATCACTATAACTTTTCTCAGCACGCATCATCACACATAGCCAGTGAGTTCCGAAACAGAAAATCAATAATTGCTACAAAATAAATGTCAGTATTTCTTTAAAATAATGGTTAACAAGTCAGTTTACAAAGCTGCTGTTCAAAAATATTTATTTTAGATGAAAGAGACATTAGCAAAATTTTAAGAAACACTGACCTATTTTGAAATTGGATGGTGGTTGGGATAGTTTTCTGGAAGAAATAGCACATGAACAAAATCTGGAAAGGCCAAAAGAATTAGTAACATACAGAAAATAACAATGTATAAATGGGTTAAAATGCAAATTGAATTTATATTATAAATTAAAACAGAAAGTGTAATTTAAAATACTTAAGAACTTTCATTCATAAGAAAGAGACCAAGATATCTCCATAAGCTTTCTTACAATTCCAAAGGGGATACATTTATCTCTAGTGCAAGGTAGTCATTGCTCTAGCCCTGTGCATCATAAGCAGCATAGAACTGGGCCCATCAGCTTCCCAGAGATTTTGTTTCCTCATCTACATAGTTGGAGTTAATTTCCAATGGCTTATAATGGACTTTTTCACTGAAAAAGAAATTAAACCACCACCATAAGACTACCTGTTTTAAAGAGACATTTAGAATACTGCAGCAAGTAATCCTTTATATTTCCCTGTCTAATATCATAAGTTACAAATAATCTATATTGTTGCTCTGGAAAAAGAAATTTGATCATAGGCTGGGGAGATAGCTCAGTAGAATAAGTGCCTGCCTGGCAAGTACAAAGTACAAGTACAATTCAACCCCTGCTATTGAAAAAAAAAAAAAAAATCTGGTCATGTCAGCATAATGACATCAAAATTTTGGAAATGAACCATGAAATAATAGACATATATTTCTAAAATAATTTTAAAATTTCTTTGAATTTGAGGGGCTTGGGAGATGGCTCAGTGGAATAAGCACTTTCCTGGCAAGCGCAAGGGCCTGAGTTCAATCCCTGGTTCTGCAAAAAAAAAAAAAAAAAAAAAATTCTTTGAATTTGAGTTAAATATGATTCACCATTACAAGTTAGAGAAAGAGGAAGAGGAGTCTGAGTCTGAGGCAAAATCTGTTAAGGTGAAAATCAAGCTCAATAAGGGAGATGAGAAAGGCCGGGACAAAGGAAAAGGCAAGAAAAGGTCAAATCGAGGGAAAGCAAAGCCAGTGGTGAGCGACTTAGACAGCGAGGAAGAGCAGGATGAAAACGATCAGTCAGAAGCACGTGGGACTGATGATGAGGGATCTCCGTGGAAGTATTTTTCTTCCCCTCTCCCGTTTCTACCCAGTGGCTTCACGTGTCCTGTGGGCGCTGGGCTCTTTCTGTGTCCTCCTCCTCATCTTGTAAACTAGCTTTAGAATAGTGCCAGACAAACATACAATATCATGGTGTAAAAAACACAAAGTTTGTAACATATTGTGACTAAATGGGCCTCAAAGATTCAAAGATTAAAACAAACAAAAGCTTTTGATGGAAAATGTGGGTGGAGAGTATATTTCTATGGGTGGGTCTAATTTGGTAAAGGTTTGGGCCTGGTTTTATCACCTGTTTGGATGAGATTTTTGTCTTTTGTAGCACTGGTAACCAGGAGAAGCCATTAAAAGCTACTGGTCATTTTATTTTTCATCAGGCAATTTTCAAGATTTTTATTTGTTCAGTATTTTTTTTTTACACTGTGGTACATATAAGCGACTTTAATAGGTGATAAATGTACAGTAGTTAGATTTCACCTACATATACATTTTTCTACTTTACGCTCCATGATCTGAAAAAATGTTTTTTAAAATTGTATAAGATTTATGTCTACTGTAAACATTGCTTAATTTTGTTTGCTCTTGGTTTTAAAAAAATTCTGTTGAAAATGCTATTGAATATTGCAATCTATATAGTGTACTGGATGGCTTCTTTTGTCCACTTGATTTCCTACGTCACCAATGTGTATTGTCTCCATCTCCCTAAAGTGTACTTAATCGTTGCTTTCTTTGCACAGTGTCTTTGGTTGCAAGTCATAAGCCTGAGGCAAATAAAATTCCAGTAATTTCGAAGAATGTGGTGTTGGTGCTTTCCTAATAAACAATTTTGCTCCACTAAAAAAAAAAAAAAAAAACAAAAAAAAAGAACGTCCTACCCTTTTAATTTTAATAGTGAAGAATTTGAGCATGAGGTGAATGACAAACAGATTGTATTATTCCAGTCATTGTGTTAGATATGAAAGCAATACAAGCGAACTAAAGAGTAAAAACCTTGCGGTCTTATCAAGACAGGAAAAATAAGGAAAATTGGTTCACACATACATAATGTATTTCTAGCAAAACCACATTCAAAACTATGTTATCTTCAACACACATTGGCACTGTCTTGAACAAATTAAACAAAAATAAGTAAATCTATGTGACTCAAAATACCCTGTGGCATTGGAACTTTCCTCTGCTTCAGTGAAGGATGTGCATGCCGTCGTCTCATTGGCTTTTCATGTGCCCATCATGAAGGCGACTTAGTTGATTTCTGTGTGAGTACTGTTCCAGGTATCTTACAAATCCTACTTGTCTTCAAGGTACAAGGAAAATCACTCCAGTCCCATCTGACTCCGTCCTTAACAAGGACGGTGAAATCTTCATTAGGAATGTTATTGAGGGTTTTTTTAAAGCCAAAAATCTGAAAGGAAAAATAAATATGCCAATATCTGTAAGAAATAATATGCATGGACATAGACTATAAATAGACACAGAAATATAAGGATGTAAATGTAAGTATAATTAGTCCTGGATATCAGAGGAAAATCCCCAGAAAACATTTCTATGAACAACTAAGAGCAGCAATGTCCAATACAAGAGTCACTGACTGTATATGACTGTTTTGTACTTGAAATGTAGCCTCTCCGTATTGAGGTGCACTCTCAGTGCTAAGAGGGAACTACATTTTGATGACTTAACACACAAAAAAATAAAACACATCAATAATTTTATATTATGTATCATTAATATAAATATCACCTCTCTGTCTGGTAAAAATATTAAATGACATTTATAGTTTTATGCTATGTTTCTATTACATAACATTCATTTCAAGGAAGAAAATGACAAGGATATAACTGTGTTTCAAAAATGATTTTAACATTCATCATGTTGTTTATCCAAACATCATGTTTAAGAACAATTTTTGCACATTACTTCTATGCTGTCCATTCTTTAATCAACATTATACAAGTAAGAATACGGAAAATTTCCCTGAAGTCATAAGATTATTTCACAACTGGGACATAATACATACAGGGTACCTGAGGCTTAATGACTTCTTGCTGTCTTTGCCTATATCCACTTACAAATTCTCTTACTCTCATTCAATGTACTCACCCCATGTGTGGATTAAATGGTGTCTGATCTGTCCAGTGCCACTGACCTCTCCCATTTTCACTCTTAAGTCCCAGAAAGTATGAAAATAATTCATTTAAAATCTTGGTTGTGAAATTCTGCATGCAAAACCTAAACGTTTATGTTGTTTGCACTTAGATGATGGTTGCTACATTGACAAAAAGGAAGTAGAACCTATAGATTATTGCTTAAGTACCAAAGCTTCTGGATAAGGTCTGTTTTCAAATATTGCTTGTAATGTTAATTAGTTTTTAATGTCACCAAATCCTTGATTTTTTTCATTTTCTGGAAGTATAATGTCTAGAGTAAAGATGAAGACTAAGTGATATCATACTTGTAGCCCTCTTAGCACGTGTGAAAAAAGGATGACGTATGTTAGGGGCTCTTGTGTTTTAAATTGCCTTCTTTGGCTATTGGGGTATTTCATTAAATTGTGCTTTATTTGAAGAGTCAGCAAATATAGGCATACAGTAAAGCCTGGGAAATAGAATCCTTAAGGATGCCCTGTTAAGAAAGGAGTGGACTCTACTCATGGAACATACTACGGAGGAGTATTTCAGCTAAGGAGATAATTGTAGCTCTTGATGAATTGAATTTACTTTTAGGTTTCCTTCTTTAGAAATAGAGCCATACATTAGCACTATTGTTCTTACACTTAATTCTCAGAAGCTACTTACTTGCATATTCTTGAAACAGTTATTGCATCATATTCAGTGTGACTGGCTTTGTACAAGACACTGACAATAAAAAGATGAGTGAATTGTCACCGCGGTCATTGCCAGAGATGCCAGAGCAGAGTAAATTTCACTGTTTCTCTGTGGATAAAGAGCCATACTAGCACCTGTAACTCACAATAGGGAAGCTAGAGAATAGGAAAAGTGGTTGGGATAGTTTTCAAGAAGGAATAACACATGAAAAATATCTGGAGAGCCCAAAAGAATTTAGTAACATCTAGAGAATAAATTTTCTCACATGTAAAATATGTTTGCTTTTATAGACAAAATACATATTTTGCTATATAATTCATATATGCATATTTCTATTACTGGGGAATTGGTAGATTATACTACAAGGTATATTGGGCTTTGCTCACATGAAAAACACCATTAGAAAGGAAAAGAAAAACAAGGACAAAAAGCAGGAGAGAAAAAGAGAAGAAAGGAAGAGAAAATCAGAAGAAGAAGAAAAGGCTTTGCAAGGGGCTGGCACAGGTGAAAGAAAGACACAGAGGCTCAGCAGAGCAAAGAAATTCTCTCTCCATAAAGAGATTCAAAGCAGCGCAGATGCGGGAGGCCCCTGCAGCGCACTTGCTCTGCTTCAGAGAGGATGCTCGCCAGGTGAGCCCCCATCCCCGAGCAGTTCCTCTCACTCTCAGCCCAGGTCTTATTGTCATGGAAAGGAAAATAGTAGTTGGACTGGAAGACTCTCCAACCATCAGGACAGCAAGTTCAGGCACTCCCTCAAAATTGAAATAGAAATTATGTTGTTAAGAAAGTACATTAAATCTGTGAAGGATCATATGACAATTCGAGCACTCAATGAGAGAAATAACATTTGTAGGGATCATACCAGCATTACTCAAATCATTCTCTGCCACCTACTACAAATGTCCTAAAAAGTGTATTGCTGGATATATTTTGAACAGAAGTATCTGAAATCATGTAGGACCCATGGAGAATTATGGTGGATTCACTTTAGAAAACTTGATAATTATTCAATGTATATGCTTATTTGTTTTCATACTTAAAGTGTTTCTTTAATATCTTTTGCAAGACAATTTATCTGAAGGATGCAAAGAATCTGCTAAAGCCCAAAGTTTCTGCATTCTCCCAAATGAGGCTGCTTTACAAATTTTGGAATAATAAAAGAGATAAAGACATATCAACACAGCAAGGTATTATCATACACTGGGAAAATGGAATTAAGTTCTTACTATGCTTTATGTATTAAGAATAGCCTGGAAAGGTGTTAAGTCATATTCTCCAATGCCAAATTTGGATTTTTACTATATTATTCCTTTCTCTTTCACTGTTGATATTCTTTACCGTAAATAATGAGTTTGAATGGAAAGGGAAATCAACTGTCTTGTGCTCCCAGCTGGTTGTACCTTTCTGTCCCTATGCTTCTTGGGTGCAGGTCAGCTTCCTGTGGTACTCTGGCACTGTAAATACCTTTGTTCTTCTACTACAGCAGAGAAACATGTGCTGAGTCACTGTGAAGAAGGAAAGCAAAGGTTGGCTTCCTTTTCTTGCACAACCACTTAATTAGGGAAGGGGAGACCTATCTGCTTGACTTTATTCTCACCCTATTTCTGATGTCTCTCACAGTCTCTTTGTTCCAGCTCCAGGTGAAACACATTTTTGAAAACTAATATTTTTTATTTTATATTGTCTATTTAAGGTCTTATATGGGATGTTTACAAACTTTTAGGTACACATGACTTATTTTTCTTTTTTGGTCAAAATCTAGAATGGAGATGTTTTAATGATCACTGGGTTAGTTCAATGAAGATTTATGAGCCTTATAAATGTATTAAATTTTTACATTTAATACAGAGAAATGTAAAAACAAGGAAAAATATGAATGTAGTTTAATAAACTTTTGTACTATAAACATTCTAAGTATCAACTGCTGGTTGAAATAACAGAATACTGACAACAACCCTGGTGACTCTTACAACACCAGATACCCCCAACTTTTCCTTTAAAAAGTAACCAGTATAACAATATGCAAAGTATCAATTATCCTAACTGTCCTATTAACCTGTTTTTTTTTCTACAGTTTTATTGATAAACATATAGCAATGAGACAGTTTCAAATCAAATCGGAAGTACAGTTTCAACAAATAATACACTACATATATTCTTCTTAGTGGTTAATTGCTGTACAAGATGCGGACTTGTGATCCTATTTACAAACACCATGAGAACAAATCATTCCAGTCATTAAGACAATGCAACTATATATCTACCCCAACCACTTTGAATACACAGATACAGAATGGACATTCATCGGTGTACCCCATTTTTCCTAAGTTCCGTTACTGAATATTATAGCTGTGTAAACTCAGCAAAATATTCTAAAAGAGTCCAGTAGCCCATAATAGCATTGGGTCTTCTGTTTAACTGGCAATGTCAGAAATTATTGACCTGAGTCCCCCACAGCTTAACTTAACAGCATGGCTTTATTTCTTATATTTCATCTTCATACTTTTCTACTGGATGGTTAAGACCAAGGTAAAGCAGGACCTGTGCAACAAGAGTTGTAGCTTTTTGATCTGGGATATTAACCTGTTTTGAAACAGTTTTGTTGCTATTTTATTTTTTTTCTCATTAAAATGAATAAAAGAATCTTAAAAATATATACAGCAAAAAAATTCTTCTTAAGAGTCTGGAGTTCTAATTCTTTCCAATACTTAACTATTCCAAATTCAACCAAGGAGGTGTGATTGATTTTTCAATTCCTGTCTGCCTCAAAAATAAATAAGTAAATAGATAAATGAAACCTGTCAGTTTTTAGCTCTCCATGTCTTAGAACCTTGACCCCAAGAACCCATCAAGCTGGGATAGGAGTGATTGGCTTGGGAAGCAAGGCCCTCTTTCATGCTGAGAGTGGCCTCTTGTGCTCCCAGCTGGTTAGACGAGGTGTACCTCCCCCTGAGCTCAGCCATCCATGGTCAGGCCATGGAGCCCCAGGAACCATCGACAGGCTGAGACAGGGCCTGGGATCTGGTCCTTAATAGTATCACATCTGGTTCCAACAAGCTTGCTTGCTCAAGCTACTGCTGATAGATAAAGTGTTCCCAATAGACTTTCTGGAGGCTTAAGGAAGGACAACGTGGCTGATTGCTGGAGGGTTAAGATTCTCTTTCTGTTGAAAAGACTATAATTAACTTGTATTGTTCAAATCCAAGGACTCCAATTACCAACAACTAGCCAAAAAGAAAAGGGAGTGGGTGGCTCCCGTCAGGATCATGCAAATACTCTAACTCAAGTATCTAAGTAATGTGAACAAACACTACTGTATACTGCCTTGGCTTTGTTTCATTTTGTTTTGCTTTGTATTTTAGGGAAGGGTCTACAGTATGTTCAAGGTCTCACTACTAGATTGGACTTGTAGTGATCCACATGTTTACAGTCTCCTAAGTGCTGAGATTACAGGTGCGTGCCACCATGCCCAGTCTCACTTTCCTCTGTGGCCCCATAATCTTCTTGATCAGAAAATTTGGGCCATCACTGAGTTACTGGATGTTACAGTATAGGTTTGCTTACATCTTGAGTCCTCACTGACCTTGAAGGGCTAGGGCCAAAATGTTGACTATCCTTGTAGCCCTTCTTTTTCCCTAATTATTTTGCTCAATTCCCATCTCAGTGTGCCCTGAGGGTGGGACTGACACTGCAGACCCAAGAATCAAATCCCTGGCCCCCATGCCTGCTTGCAGGCACTTTAATCCACTGAGCTATTTGGCCAGCCCACTACCATGGCTTTGTATTTTTCTGTTGATGGTTCTTCTGCATGACTGAGAAGGCAAATCAACATAGGAATATAACAAATTTTCATCAAAGGTCAGTGAGGTACTATGGCACCAGTTGAGGTCTGTGCTTTTACTATGTTTGCAAAAGTAGTACCTTTGAGGCAGGGAGTCTAATTTAGAAATCATCTGTATTCCCTCATTTGTGAGATACAAAGAAGCAGTACCTAGAAAGAAGTCACAGCCTAAAGTTTCTGGATAAAGAAAATACCCCAAGACATGCCAGGACTGCTGACTCCCCTCCCTGTACACATAAGCCAAAAAGTTGGTCTTGAAAGGGAATAACTGTATAACAGAGAAATTGTTCTTTTAAAAAATATTCATTTTGGGGGCCTGCCCCTTAGCTCAGTTCTTTAAGTGGCTGCTTCAACAAAGCAGTCAGGCTCAGGTTGCTGTGGTTCAATCCCCACAACTCCAGCCAGCCAAACCTGCCCTGAGGCATTCGGAGCAATCCATCAATCAATCAATAAATAAATAAATTCATTTGGAACTGCCTAGCTCTGTAACTGCTTCTTAGCTCTGTAATTACTTTCCTGAATGCTGTAAGCATGAGAGCATAACCAAACATGCAAGATGCTTGCTTGCACCAAGCTTCATGACGTTCATCTAGCCTTGTAACCAGTGATCTCGCCCTGCCAGCCAAACAGAGGAATTGCCAGGCTGCTTGCTCTGCTCACCTTTGTACCTCCTGCTTGTGCACCATATAAAAGCCCTTGATCACTGCAGATCAAAGCCTGATATTTTGGGAGTGATCCTAATCAGTGCCCATCAACATAAAATAAATCAGCCTCCAAATTCTGAAAAAATAAAATAAAATAAAAAGTAACCAGTACTTTCTAATACATTCCTCTTGTCCTTTGCTTCATGATATGATGACTTAATAATTTACTCCTAAAGCACATCTATCACATTTGTGTGCTTTTGAAGTTTCTGCAAATGAAATCACAGACTATATATTCCCTTTATTCCATTTCCTGCCCAACATTGTTGCAGAAACTTATCCATGTTGGTATATATAATTCATATTTTCACTGCTGTAAATAGATCTCCAGCAGCAAAACATTGTGGTAGACAAACAAGTTAGAAATTCATAGAAAGGGGTTGCACCCCCCCAAAGAAATCTCATGCAAACCCTCCTCTTGATACACAACACCTTCAGATCACACTATAATTAGCATCGCCTGGTCCATTGAGCCCACACAGATGTCAGACACATGGCGACTGAAACATCTGGGCCCACACTCCCATTCCTTCCAGGAACATCCTTTCTGTTTCTGTGTCTAGAAATTAAGCTAGGGATATAGCTCAGCAGCATGAGTGCCTGCCTGGCAAGTGCAAGGTCCTGAGTTCAATCTCTAGTAACAAAAAAAAAAAAAAAAAGAAAGAAAGAAAAGAAAAAGAAAAAGAAATTACAAATCAGTTAAATTTAATGAGGGTTGCCTATCTTGCCTTGTTGCCCTATTGGATCAATATTAGCTAAGGGTCTATACTTGTATCTTATTGGTTGATTATAGTTTGACTCATGTTGTGACTTGGCTGTATAATTCATGCTTGACAAAGAGCTTCAGTGGCAACAGAGTCAGAACTTCAGTGAAAATGTAGGAGCTGTTCTTTCCAATAAAGCTCTCTTACATTATACCTTTGGTTCAAAGCTTCATTCCTTACCATTGTGAAGCCACGAACAGACCATCTGACATCTAAGAAGTGGGAATCATTTTCCCCATGACAACAGTGATCTACTTTTGGGAGATACATCCAAAGTTAGAGTTTGGCTAATGTGGACACTGAACATTTTAATGTACTGCAGTGGGACATGTACTTCAAAAGAGGACTGCTGTCAAGAGAGTTTACAAGTTGTAAGCTATGACAGCAGTAAATGTTTTCAAAGTGTTTTGTGTTGCCATACACACCTA